AATAGCTACTTTGCTCCTTAAGGAGCAAAATAAAGTAAAATAAAGCTCTTAGTTTAATGATCTGGGCATTTACTAACTAAATTGATGCCTTTTCCCCAAATCATAGGTTTTCTTAAACAGAAACTCACATTGTAAAAACCAAATATATATGCCACTAAATGTGCAATACACCATCCTCAACTGCATTAATGCAACCGTTTCTCCACACTTCCCTGCAATGGTCAATGTCCACCAGCTCAGACAGCTTCCTAGCAAATGGAAGAGGCCGGGAAAGGACTCAGCCCATGCTGGACACTCAACTCATGAGTTCCTAAGTGGGTGCTCATGAGAGTGCATATGATTACACACTTTCACATCTCAGCAAGGTAAGAAAAATCAGCCTTAACTAGCACATGAAAACACAGACTAACAGTAACACATGTAGATAATTATGATAAATATACATACAAGGGTACTCACAGAATACTTACAAACCAAAATACTTTGAGAGCCTCTTCTAAGCCAAGTCAAGTAGCCTTAACACAAAAATGCAAATACATATATAACATTAACCACTGAAATTCAACCAATGAAGAACTTGGGAGATACATATGGAGCAGGCAAGCCACAGACGAGGTTCAAGCAGACACTGAAAATTATGCCAATGCATTTGCAACAAATGGATGAAGCTGGAGGACAGTCTTAGCTACTTTTACTACAGAAGAGTTTATTTGGGGTTCAGAATTTCAAGTCCACGACCAGCATGGCGGAGAGCATGGCAGCAGGCAGGCAGGCAGGCATGGTGCTGGAGCAGTCGCTGAGAGTTCGCATCTTGAGACACAACCACAAAACAGAGAAAGACACCAGGAAGTCTTTTGAAACCCCATAGCCTGTTCCCACTGACACTCCTCCTAATTCTTCCCAAACAGTTTCACCAACTGGGGACCAAGTATTTAAACACATGGGCTTCTGGTCCTCCGAACCTCCACAAGGATGCTAAGTGGAATAAGTCATACACTGAAAAAATGGTGCATGATTCCATTTACATGTGGAAGCTTGAAAAGAGAAGAAACGGGAAAGGTCAAATACACAAGACCAAAGCGGACAGGGACGGTACAGGTTAAAGGACAGCTATGAGCGAGGCTGTTATGTCAAAGTCCAGATGCTGAAAGGCTGCAATTGATATTGCATTATCCACTAGAGATCCGCTGGGAGAAGAGACGCACAGTTTTTCCACATAAGTATCTGCAAGATTATATATAATTTGCATATTTATAGTAACCACCTCACTATGCAATCAAAAGATGATATATACCTCGAATTTCTACAATAAAAACCATTATTAGAATATACCTGCACTGTGTGAGGAATATTTAAGAGAAAAATATTTGATCTAAATGTAACACGGTACTTTATGTCGTTTATTTATATTCATATTCCCAGCAAGGAATTCTTTCTTTTTAAGATCTTATGCTACTGTTGTTTTTACTACATTTCAAATTTTAGGTTCAATAGCTTTATTCTAAATATTTAATTAGTAAAATTCTTATTAAATAACATCTTAAATGTACTTCAGAAAAAGCCGTTGGGATTAATTCACTGAATAAAGAGTAGAGCCATATTTTTATCTCAGAGATTAGTTCTTACACACACACCCCTCTTTCTCTGGACCGTGACTATTTAAAGAATAATGTCTATTTTAGCCATTCAGAAGGGCTGACACATCACACACACACGTGGAAACAGCAAGGGAGAGCTGGTAGAATTTTTCAAGAATTCGTACTCTTTGAAATTACATTTTAAGTGGTGAGTATCTTCAAAAGTCATGGGGAAACCCCGGTCCACCACAAACGCACAGGGAGACTTCCTGTTGGTCTAGGATCAGCTTCTACTCTTTCTTCAGAAGGCAGCACTTTCTCCACCCCTCCTCTCTCCTGGGAAGAGAGGGCGACCTCTGACACTTTGTTTAGCCTTCTGAGCTCCAACTCCTCCTGGTGAATTAGGCCTTCCTTCCGAAAAGCAAGTCTAGGAGGCTTGCCAACGTCAGCACCTCAGCGCCAGCTAAGAGGAGGCAATGGAAGTGATGGAGAGGTGGCTCACAGGTTAAGACCATGTACCACTTCTTGTAGAAGACCTGAGCTCAGTTCCGGGCAACACCCTGCAACTCCAGCTCCCAGGGATCCAGCGCCCTCTTCTGGCCTCTGCAAGCACTTGCATTCATGGGTACAAACCCAAACACAGGAAAAAATAAAGAGGTGATGGAGACTGGTGGACAAGCATGCAGCCCAGGAATGAACATGTGACTCCCAGAGGCCAGAGGCCAGAGTCCAGGCTATGGATTTATTTATTTATTTATTTATTTATTTATTTATTTATTTATTTTTGACTATGAAGGAACCCTAACCTTTAGGGCTGAAAGCAAAAGGCTGTAGTTTAGGAAAACAGGCAAACACTCTCTGGTTTGGTTGAGAGAAGACTTCAGCAGCCAAGAAAGGCAGGCGAAGAGGACCCTAGGTCCGCTGGGTCACTGCTGAAGTTGATGTGAAGTCTCCTTACTCGCAGCTTTTATCCCGGCTTCGGTCACTAACAAATTCAAGAAGCCCTGACTAGGTAACGGAGAAGGCACAATAAACCGTGCCCTGTGGTGCTGGGCAAATGGCTCTGGGGATGAAAAGCTTTCCCTGCCATCTGCTCTCAGCTCATTTCACACCGCTCACTGCCCGTCACAGGGGACAGTCACCCAACAGTCACCCACAACTCGGACACCAAGTCTGCTTACAAAGTGCTAAGACCACACGGAATTCATCGGGGGGTTTCTGAACGTACTGGCCACTTCAGGGTGTAAGTCTCAATGTCCTAAGGGACCTGGAAATATCCGTCATCCACAGCCCACGAGGACCACTTTCTATGTCCCTCGGGCTTCTCCTGGGCGCACTGTTCCCCAAATTTCAAGGTCTGACCTGCATTTGCTTTATTTATCGCCTCACACAGTACAGACCCCACCGGTGCCTTGACTTCCTGAAACCGCAGTGGCTCTGCTCAGACTTCAACTGTGAGCACTTTTAACAGAAACGGGGCGGCCGAGGGCAAGTTCTGGTGTTGGGTTTCTCCCAAGAGTCCTCGCGGGCCCCTGTATCATTTTGGCTTTCTGTGGAGCAGGTTATACATCAGCTCTCTGAACAGGTTCCTGTCCCCTTCCCACAGCCTGAGCAGAATCACACAAACCAAACTTGGGTAAGCATAAGGATAGAACACTAAAATTTCACAAAACCCTAAATGACAAGCTTTATGAATAGCGTGTAATTAAATATAGCGCTATGAGCAGTCATTCGTGCCATCAACCAATATTAATGACACACTGTGAGAACGGAAAAGATAGGGGCTGCAAACAGCAGTGAGCGAGATGACTTTCCATGATAACTACCCCTGTCTGGAGCGAGGAAAAACGGCATTAAACAAGTGGGTTTTTTCAGTCTAACATACTTTTAAATGATACTAATTTATAAAAAAAATTAAATTTTTTTATCTGTATATTTATACCTGAGTATGAGCACATTGCACATGTGTGTGCCTGAGTGCATGTACATGAACATGTGTGTTCAAATATCTTCTGAGGAGAGAAGTGGGTGCTGGGAATCGAACACACATCCTCCAGAAGAGCAGTATGTGCTCTTGAACTGTTGAGCACATCTCTCCAGCCCCACATTAATGCTATTTAACACGGTAATTTAATACAGCCATATGGCGGTTTCAATGAGACAGGTCCCTAGTGGGCATGTAGTTGAGGCTCTAGTGCCCAGCAGGTGGCGCTGTTCAGGGACGGCCAGGAACCTTTAAGACAAGGAACCTGCCTGCAGTAATAATGGTCACTGGTGGCAAGCTTTGAGGGTATAAAGCGTTGCCCCAGGTCCTGTTCTTCCACCTCCCAACTCTGCATTTATTAGGGAAGCATTTTTGGTTTTTAGGATCTTGTGTAGATTAGGCTGACTTCGAACCTGTGGTGACCTTCTGCTTCCGGTGCTAGAATTACAAGTATAAACCATGACAGTCAGCCCCAGTATTTGTTGAATAACAGGATAAATGAATACGAAATTCTTAGCTGGGGCATGGTAGTGCCAGCCTAGAGGCAGGTGGGTCTCTTGAGTTCAAGGACAGCCTTGTTTATGAAGAGAGTTCCAGGACAGCAGGGCGGGTTACGTGGAGAAACCCTGGGGCCTGGGGTTTGGGTGAGAAAGCCTGGGTCTGATTGTAGCTGATGGACAGGGGAAAGGCCTTTGTAAAGGCCAGATTTCAGGCACTTAAAATAGTACTGTGCTCTCCCAACAACTCAAAAACCAAACCGTCATTAGTGTATCCACCCAGGGCTCCCCTCCCTACACCCACGTAATATTCCCTTGTTCCAAGGGTACCATCATTCTTGCGGCCACTTGTTTCTGACCTCTTCCTCTGTCAACCGCCTTGCTCAGCAAGATTCTGAAGGCCCGTCAACTTCCCTTTAATATCTTTGATCAATGGCCTCCTTCCTTCCCACTCCCTCTGTCACAGACTTGGTTCAAGCAATCAACGTCGAGATTAGAGCAACAAACCAGTCTCGCCTGATTCCAGGTTTGCCCTGTCTAATCCAGGGCTGCTTAGATTAAAGCCTCCCTAGAAACTTTGGCTTGATGAAATAAAGCTGTCTGAGTGACAACTGAAATAGAAAGCCCAGGAAAACAAAGTCCTGCCTGGCCAACCCTGGGAGCAGCCGCATCTCCCCGCAGCACTAACTCAGCCAGTTGTCCTCCTGCCGGAGAGCGTGTCGTCCATCCATCAGGCAGGTCAGGGCCCATCATTTAGATCATCGCCACATCTGATGCTAGCTCATCCGCACGTCTACCCAGCTCCGGCCCTTTTACCTCCTCGCAGCTCCAGAGCAGCCCAGCGAATGCACCTCTTCCTCCCGAGAATTCTCCTGACACCAACGGATGACTGTGGCTGTCAACCGACAAACTCCAACCGACACTCGCACACTCTCACCCCTGAGCCCAACTTACACGCGTCAGACCGACACGGTGCAGAGGTCCTCACTAGGCTGTTTACATCAGACCTGTCGCCAGTCTTCCCGGCACTTTTAGTCTAGTTAGCTCTGTGACCCCAAACAAGCACCAACTTGGGGGCGGGGGGGGGGGGACCACTTCAGACATGTAGATCTCAAGGGTGAGCAGGTAAGATGGCTCAGCCGGAAGACGCAAGCTTGACAACCTGAGTCCAAGACCTGTAACCCACAGAAAGGTAACGCGAGAGCTGACTCCACCAAGTTCTCTGAACCTCCAGTGCGCACATACACACACAACAACAAGGACAACTGAAAGTAATGGTAAGCAAAATGAAGCAACAGTGAAGAGAAATCCTTAAAGACTTGACATGAGCATCATGGATGCCACTTTCTCAGAAGCTGACTGGCCCTCAGGCATTAAGCTTTATCCAGAGACTAAAGAGCAGGCCTGGTCTTGAGTAGAGGGCCCGAGGCTAAAAAGAAGGGCAATGTAATCACGTAATCCACCAAGAAGCTGAACTGCACCTGAAAATGCTGGTAACAGAGCTACAAAAGGTTAAGTTATTTGGAGTAAACTTTCCGAATCCGTCATAGTCAACTGTACTTTGCCTTCATGAAGATGCCGTTTTAAAACTGCATTATCTGTTTTGTTTTCAATGTCTGGTTCTCCCTTTTGCTCCTGAGATCCAGAGATGGCAGGTGGGCTCAGGGCCCTGAACAGAGGATGAAATGAAATGGTGAGGCACCCCGAAGTGAACACACAGGAGGCACCAGTCATAAGACCCTGTTAAAAGCAGTCAACAGGTTTTGTAGGTTAAACAAGGTCTTTGAGGACTGCGTTATAACCTAACCACAACACTAGTAATGAAATAATACCTTTTGTTCCAAGTAACCAACTTAGAATCACAAGGTGTAGAGCCTCCTTCAGCTGCCTTGTTCCTTGCCTACACGTGAGTCTGTGCACCCACAGGCTAGAAGGCGGCATCAGATGTCCTGGGACTGCAGTTATAGATAGTTGTGAGCTGCCATGCGGTTGCTGGGAACTGAACCTCGGTTTCCTGGAAGAGCAGCCAGTGCTCTTAACCACTGAGCCATCTCTCCTCCGCGCTGTCTGACATTTTGGCCCACAGACCTTGATCTGAATACTAGTGACTAAAAATGAAGCTTCATGGCCTATACAAGAGAGATCTTTGTAGCCTCTTTGGGAGTCAGTTTAAAAACGAACAAAACCCACGAGAAACAGAAATCACAAAAAAAAGAAACAAGGAGATTGGCTGCTCAGTCGTTCTTCCAGATTCCCAGCACGTATATGACAACCCACAACCACTATAACTCAGCCCCAGAGGAGTGCTGATCCCCTCTTCTGACCTTGGGGGAAATCGGGCCATGCACAGGGAACAAACACATTCTTAAACGAGGCAAAACAGTCATCCACATATAGTAAAAAATAAATCTAATAAAAATTTAAAAGAAATTGCTGATATATAGAGTCACTCTATAATTTACATACATATGTAAGCATATATTTTAAAAAGTTTAAAAAAAATTTTAAAAGTTTCCCTTATACATTTCCCCATTTTAATGCATGGCATATGTTCAATGTGTTACAAACTCCACTAGGGTTAACAGCTGTGTGGCACCTAACGGACTGGAATGGGGGCTCGATGTACCGACGGGGCTTCACATTACAGTCTGAGCTCCTCTGGCAAACAGGAGGAAGGCGAGCACTACCTACTGCTGACAAACAGCCGGTCATAACCACTCTCGCAGTCCCAGCACACAGGAGGCTAAGGCAGGAGCATCACCTTGAATCCCAGGCCATCCCGGGCCGCACACTGCAAATTCTACGCTAGCCTGCACTACAGTCTGAGACACTTTTTCAAAATTTTAGTTTTAATCTGGTTAAAACAGCTATAGTGCCTAACAATAGCTACAAAACAATTGTAAATATCAAATACAGTCGATAAATTCTAATGTTCTTATGATGGCTACGTACCGTTCCCTACCTTCCTATTTTCTTCCCTGGCATTCAAAGTTTAAATGACTATCTCATACCAGAAACTCCATCACTGCAGGTATTTGGGAATTCTCACCACATTTTTAGAGTCTATTGAGGTTATGGAAATGAAACCTCATTATCCCAAATCATACATTGTTCTATTTGCATATCTAAAATAATTTCAAAAATTTCTATTTAAGGAAAAAAGCAGTATGAGAAGCTACCTGCAGAATCTGCATGCACGGCCTAGTGTGTAAGTAGTGCAAGGGTGCATGTGTCCGCTCCTCCCTGCCTGGTGACCTGGAAGGAGCCAGCAGCGTCTCTGCCGTCAGAGTGCTGCGTCGGGATTCGCTTTGCACCCGAACTTAACGACCACAGAGCTTTGGAGCACAAAGAACAGTCAGTGGCACACCTCACTTTAAGCTACAGTGACCTGTCATTGAGGAGTCATTAAGCAATCTCTGTAAGGCCTAAGCAGGAAGCCTAATAACATTCAAGTATGTAAGATTATTGTCTGTACTTTATGGACTCAAGTTTGATTTGGGGCAAGGATATGGAATATATAAGCTCTACTTTAAGTTACAAATCTAGTTACAATAATTCTTATCCTTTTCCCTGAAGATAAATCACATCATTTATTAATTAAGGTTTAGAAAGCAATATGGAAGATACTCAAACGCTGTAAGTCTGTGTGTAAAAGAGAAAGAGAAACACAGATACACAATTTGAAGGCTGGCTTAGAGTACACTGAAGATCAGAAAAGTCACAGCATATAATTAATATTTATCTTGCAGAATTTTCATAAATTATCATTTTTAAACAAGTGAATATAAAATAAATATACTTCTTTCTATATTAGGAACCTTTTTTTATAAATCAAACTGTAAACTTATGTTAAAGAGCCCATTTTTAAAGCATACAAAGTAAACTGGTGGCCCTGTTTAGATGCATATAACTTTCACTCTGCTCCTTCATTGACACGACAACTGTTTATCCTTGAAGCTGTGCAGGGGAGACATGTTTACAAGCATTGCAGGAGGAAACGGGAGCACAGACCCAGCCCCAGAAAGTCAGCGTACCCTGGCATTCCACACTGGCGCGTACGCATGGAGGCCACAGCGCAGCCAGCTAGGATGCTGCCCGGCTTTCCCGGTCTCTGACGTCCCCTGCTCCCTGGCACTGTCGGTTTGCACTGAAGTAGAAGGAAATTTAAAGAAATATATCCACTGAGTGAACAACTTCAGAGGTTGTTTTCTCCAGCTAGTCTAATTTAAAGTTCAGAAGACTGACCTCCAAAATTTTTTTAAAGGCCAAACTCATGCACCAGCTTCTAAAACTCACCCACTCCACCTGTCAATACCAAAATCATCCAAAGAGAAAGTTCTTCCCAGTACCCTGCGATTGTGAGCAGACACCAGCGCTGTCCTCAGAAGAGGAAGGCTTTCCAGCTCCGCACCCCACCCCCAAGCATTCAAGTAGTGCAGATCCCCACTGACAAAGGGCACCTCCCACAAGAGGATCAGGAGTCAGAGGCCAGGGTCGATCTCCCCTAGGAGTCTGCTCATTCTCCTATCCCCTCCTCCTTTCCTTTGATCGATAACTCCCCTTCTTCAAGAAACAACAGATGAAAAGATATCCATGAACATTGAACACTTTATTCCTTGGAAGATCCTCAGCTGCAGAAGGTTAAGTGCCAGAACTGCCCCCATGGCTAGAAACAAAGAGACACAGCACTTCTGGCTGTTTCCACCATTAACGTGAGATCTGGTCTTCACCATCAGAAGGAGGAAGCATCCCCAATATGGGATGATCTAGTATGTCACAAGTTTCTAAGAAATTATAGCTGATCGTAGAGACGTAGCTAAAAATAAAGGAATCGGATCTTCAGGAATAGCTAGATGTGAAGCCATACACCGACATCCAGCACAGCATCTATTTGTGAACGGCCAACATCTTGGAAGAAGTTCAGTGTGTGATGGATTTCTAAGACGAGCCCAGTTTTGAATGAACTGCTCTTAGCATAGGAACAACGGCTACTTTTAGACGCAATTACCGGCTATCTTTCAGTATCACACGACTAAAGTCCACCAGTTTCAGGATGGCTTTTATTTATAGCTTTCTAATATTGTCCTGATTTTCCTAAGAAGGTAACTGTGGCATAGTACTCAAATAAAATTCTAATTCAAAATGAAAGAAAATATCATCAAAATGGCTAGCTAGTAAAATAAGACAGTCTAATAGTTTAGTTCTGAATCAAGGCATATACATTGAACCTATGCAATATTTTGAACTACAAAAAATTCCAAGCATCCAAGAACATCCTCATTCACTGAAATTAAAATATTTCTGACATTAAAGTCTATTCTCAGATCAGTTAGGCTTAATGTACAGTAAACTAAAATGTGTCGAATAAATGAAAAAACTAAAAAGCTGTTTTTATGACAAGTACGATGGCATCTACCTTTAGTCCTGGTACTCGGGAGGCTGAGGCAGGAAGACCTCCATGAGCTCCAGTCTACCCAGAGGAACAGAGCTAGACTCTGTCTCAAAAAAAAAAAAGCAAAAGTAAACAAACAAAATGTCTTGCCTCTATTTACAGCACCAGTACTATATCTAAAGAGAAAATATTTCTTTCCATGGCAACAGTTCACTTAAATTCAGAAATGAAAATAATTGCTAGGAAAGCACTTGCTGGCCTCATTTTATAAAGCCTTCATTTTTTTTTTTCTTTTAGGACATGTAACGAACTATGGCTTGATCTTCAAACAAAAAACTTAGTCAAAACTAAACGAATCCAGAGGACCCACACTTACGGAGGTCCTCAGCTCCTGCGCCTCACTTCTCCTTTTCTTGATGCTGCACTCAAAAGAGGCTGCACCTATAAATATACCTTGACATTTTCCGGAAAGCATCTTCTACAGAATCTTAAAAAAAATCACTAAAGTAATGGCATGATCTTAAAAAAAATACCACTTGGTAAAAATAACTGGCCAGGCCCACTGTACATTTCTTTACCTAGGAATCTGTTACTATTAATAAACTAATAAAATTGTTACCAGATCTTGAGTTTATTCTCTTTCAAGACTTCATTCCTTAAAATTAACTAAAAACGTTTATACACGAACAGAAGCAAAGCCCTTTTAGCATATAGTTTTTAACTTAAAGCATGTCACTCCCCTTGGGAGAAGGCAATCTTCCCTCTGCAATGCCGATCTCCAGCACCGCACTTGTGAGGAGTACTACTGACTTCACTGTGAATGGCCACCAGCTCTGGAGACCGGAACTGGTTCTCACTGCTTAGTCAGCGTCTTTCCCCTCAAGCTCTCTTCAAAGCCTTTTACCCAAACACAAGTATTTGTAAGACACAGAATCTCTTGGCCATTTTTAAATAAACCAAACAGGAATTACAAAGGATGCTCCAACACAGCTTGCGCAGGGTGTCCCAGGTTTACTGTTTACTTTGTCAGTGCCTCAGCTTTCTATTAGTTTTGCTACTTAGTAACCGCTCAGGCCAAAATATACCCAGGCAGAACTCATCTCAAAACCATAACTCATCTCAGAACCATAACAGAACCCAGACACTTTCTGGTGCATGAGAGTGTGCGTTCTTAGATAATCAAGAACCAAAACCTGTAAGTACTACACAGCTAATGTCAGAAAGTGCTACAATGTTCTACCTCTGAAACCTTCAGAAACACCAAGCAAAAGAATGTGGCCCAAAGCAATCTAATTTGCAATCCAAGAATCCAAGAATACCCAGGCAAATGAGATAATGAAGAGGGCCACCACCGTCCCCCTCAAAATCTTATAATCATATAAAAGATACAATTAACACTGTATAATAAAGCAAACTTTAAGATAATCATTGTATCTAGACTCACAAGTATCCAACTTCAGGTTCATCTCAACATTTGAATTACCAAGGGAAGAAATCAAAATTCACTCACTTTATATAGTATCTTGCACCTTCAAAAGTATATGCTTCTTCCCAGCCAGTGGGTAAATCTAAAAAACACACATTTCAATTAGTATTACTTCAGTGGGGTTGTAAAATATGCTTAAGCGCATCTTACCCAGCTTCATGATTACCTACGCTCATTTAAGGAGGTGTCTACCCAAAATCTAGACTGGTCAAATCAATAGTCAACATAACAGTATTTGGAAGAACATGACAATTCAAAGTTAAAGCCATCAGCAAAGTCCCAGCAATATTAGAAGTGACCTGACATGATATTCCCTTTAATGATCAGGGTTGAAAAAGGACCCTAACATCAAAGTCTTCTAAACCCAGGTGAAATACCCATCACTGATTGGCAAAAACCCCAACCAGGAGCACTTTGCTTTTTTAAGGTATTTTTTGTCTATTTAAAAATGTGTATTCCAGTGACATAACCAAATCCATCTAGGCTTTCATCTGGTATGAAATAACTCAAGCACTTATTCGCAAGAGCTGAACACTTACACACCGTGTATCAATACACTCGACCTTAAAAGATGTGAAGTTTCAAGTCATAATTAGGCAATGATTCAGGTGAGCGACTGTATCTTAATGTGCCTCATGGTACTCAAGATGACAAGCGGTTTGGAGTTCATCGTAACCCATCTCCAAAACGAAAAGTCATCGACGTGTGCACAAAACCAAGCAAAGGAAAGCAAACCCAAACAAATATATAGATAAACGCATAAACTACTTCTGGCACGTGACTGGTATTCAATCTGTGAGGGTAATTCGAAGACACTGGTGTCACAAATGACCAAAATAAGCATGAACTAATGCCACAAAACGAGTGGGTTAAGTTACTTTAAATCCCATATTGTCCTCCATGAAATAAACGTGTCCATAGCCAGAAAAGCAATGAGGCCATCCATCTAAGCTGCAATACGTGTATAAAACAGGCTGAAGCTAAAGACTGCATAGGGAACTAGAAAACATGACGGTTTATTAGTCAGAAATGCCCTAAAAATGTAACCTCATCACGCTTGCTACAGCAGCCTTCCCTTTCCTCCTCCACGTCTTTGCAAATTTGGACCTTTATTAGTCACTTCACCGAACTCCAGCGTTTGACAGAAAAGGCAGGTTTGTTCACTCTTCTGGCAACTTTAATAGGAGATTCTCAGAACCTCAGAGTTGGAGAGAAAAGTACTAATAGGGCGGCTGGAACCGGCCTCACCTTCGACCTAAACTGTTCTCAAGCCTTTCCAACAGCCCGGAGTAGAGGCGGGCCAGCACGGGAACACTTACGTTTCAGGCAAACAAGTTGGGCGAATGTAAACAAAGAATGACAAAAGAAAGCCAGACCAGCACTAAAACACCACGAGCCCTCCTCCAGCTCAACTCACGCTTGGCATTCAAGAAAGCTATCAAAGCAACCCGTGATGCGTTTCCCCGCGGAACTGGGGCCCGAATGCCCCCACGCGGGACCGCCTTGGCTCGCCCACCGCCTGCTGGTGGTACGGGGAGCCTGGCTGCCGCTGCCGGGGACTTTGGAGCCCGAATCACTGCCTGCAGCGCCCGCTCCAGCGTCCTGACTCCGGCTGCTGTTCCTTGGGTGGCAAGGAGAAGACGCACCGGCGCTTGGGTCATGGGAGTTGGGGGTCGGGGGAGGACAGCAGCACCCCTAACTCCTCCATCAGTTACCTACCCACAAGTCCCACCTAGAGAAGTAGGAGGTGGAGGAGGAGGAAGCCGCTTAGGAGAGGGCAGCTCTCAGGGGAGCGGGGCGAGGATGCAGGACCACCTCACCGCTGGGGTGCTGGGGTACCGGGAGCAACGAGGGGGAGCGGGTGAGGACTCCCTCAAGGGTTCCGGGGGCTGAGACGGGGGCGATTCGGGCGAGAGGGGCGTCGACCGCCCTCGGGGGGCGTCGAGGCAGGGATGGGGACCGGGGCGCATGAAGAGGGCGCCGTTTCCAAGTGCTGATGAAAAGGCGGAGAAGAAAGGCGCCCCGGGACTCACTCGCGCGGAGCCCGAAGCACCTCCAACCCCCGCCAGGTGGCCCCGAGCCGCAGCCCCGGCTCGCCCTACCTGTGCTCTGCCGCCGGTGCCCAGTGACCACGGCCTCGCCGGTGACCGGGTGCAGCCAGGTGGTGCTCTTGGCCTCCTCGCTGCAGGGGAGAGAAGGGACAGGCGCTGAGCGGCGTGAGGGGCGACCCACGGGGTCCCCGGGCCCGCTCGCTCCCGCCGCCCCGCAGCCGCCCCGAGCCACCTCCCCCACCCGCTCGCTCACTTG